TTGCTTATAATAATGTTTCATATAATCAAGCATATTAGAAGAAAACAGTCATTAAATCGAGCATTTTCAAAATAGGACTCCTAATTCCTAATCCTATGTTTAGGCATCTAGGTCATTCAATCAAAAGCCTAACTTGGACTCCGATTTTGGGGGAAATTTGGCCCAAGCATCATAAATACCTCATTTTGAGATGATCAGTAATGCTGGCAAAACTAGAGGTCCTTTGGCTGAGGTTGAATGTGGGCACAAGTTGTAGATGAAACTGGTAAGGAGTAATACTTGCTTGGTAAAAAGGCACAACATTTTTAAGTCTTAAACCTTTGTTTTATGATTGCAAACTGAACAGAGCCAATTTTATACTCATATTATTTTATACTTAAGAGCCTGCTTTCATGATCTATTCATGAACAACCAGCTCTCTTATAATATGGATATTACATTACATTTAGGTTAAACAAGCTCTCTAAATATGCGAGGTTGCTGAACCATATGATCCTGTGATTTACAAATGTAATTCTCTTTTATTACAGCATGCAGAGGCAACAGTTTCCATTGTAGGTCGAATATTTGTATTCCAAATAAGAATGTCTGTAATAAAGATGATGACTGCCTCACAGAAGAGGATGAAACTCAAGCTCTCTGCGCAGGTTTCCTTTTGAGAACTTTTTTTGTTTCTATCCTTCCATTCTGCTCAATTACGACTAGGGACTACAGCATGCATATTATTAAATTATTTAAAAATATAAAATGCATGCAAGAGTTAGTCTTTCCAAGGTTATGTTACGCATAGTAGGGGACAAATAAAAGGTCAAGTACTCTTCCTCCCCTTCCTTCTAGAAAAGAAGGGCAAGAAAACTAAAGGAGGAGGGAAACTGATAATGTTGTAGGAGGCTTAAGGCAGAATGTCTTTTGCTTATATAGCGATCTATCAAACTGGTATCCCGTATTTGTGCAGAAACTGAAGATAGGACAGGCAGGAATATTTTCCTCAAAGATAAGGAACTGAACCAGTTTGTTAATATAATAATTCTTCTTCTTCTAATATAATAATTCTTCTGTTAATATAATAATTCTCTCCCCTCAGTACTGAAAAGACTCGTTCTGTTTTGAGCTTACAGTGTTTTTCCTTGCTCTGATGAGATACAAAGTCTAAAGCCAAAAAGTAAACACTATTGGCAAATGGTGAATGGTAAAGGTAAACTGAACTGAGAATAGGCCAAATCCTTTGCCACCTAGGCATTTTGTTTGAATAAGGGCTAACATACCAGACCTAAGGAAGCATTTAATTTACCTCTCAAGTTTAATACCCTCCCTTACCCTGTTAAAGGAGAATTCTGGTATATAACAGCATCATCTAAATTGAAAAAAAAAAAAAAAATCCTGTTACCTAATGCTCCTTTAGGCTTTAGAAAAATCCCAAAGGTTGATGGGGCAAAAGGGTGAAGTTCTGATGTTTCCTGGAGGAGGAGAATGTGCCATCACTTGAGAAATCAAAAGATAAAAAAGACCACTTCTGAGGGTTCCTTTGCAGAAGGGTTCTCTAAGCATGGAAAGCAGAGGATAAGTCAAGTAATTATAAATCAATGTGTACTGGATATAGGTCACCTGTAGGCAGAGGCAGCCAAGGAGTGCCTATTAAGAAAGGAAACAGCAGGTACTAGGCTGACAGAATATTTCTATTGGTGTGAAATGGTGTGCGCTTACTGTTTTGAAAGTCCACCACAATTTTGGCACATAAACATATATTCAAGTAATAGAACAAATGTAAATATTTGCAAACATTTTTAGTATTTCATTATTCTATTACAGATAGAGAAAAAGATGTTGAAAAGCACAGTATGGATGAAGGTAAGTGCAACTAACCCTCCACAAACCGCTGCATACCCTCTAATACCCTGCTTTCCAACTACCAGCCAGCTTGGCAGATCCAGAACACTCAAGATTTTTGGACTTTGTGATTCAGTAGTACACAATCTGGGGCTTACTATTTGTCTCGCTTTCCACTAATTTCAACAATGCCATAGTAGCTTATCCTGGCTGAAGATCCACATCTGCATGTTGTGGCAACTGATGGAAGTAAACTCTAAGGAAGTCTAAGGGAACTGCTTTAAAATTATTTGCCTGAATGCTGGAAGTGGAAAATGAAGGGAAATAATGTGATGGGAAGACAGAGGCAATTTTCAAAGCAAAAACAGTTGCAGAAATTTTTGGTCTTCGCTTTCCTGCTACTGCAGCTACTGACATACTCACAGCACTCATGGTTTCAAAATAAAGATAAATCTGTCTCAAAACAGAGATATAGGAATTATGTTCTCTAAAGTATCTGATGTAGTGCCTGAACTCTGTGACACGTTTTTCCTTTTTGTTAAAGAAAGAAAAATGATAAAGACACTTCTTCCTCAAATAAACTGTGGTCTTAGAAATCACACACTAACTCGATGGAAAAGAATCATAGGTGGAGAAGTTGCAAAAAAGGTAAAAACAAAACAAAACAAAACAAACCAGATATGAGTTCATTCAAGTATCACTTTAAATGGGCATTGTTGTCCATCTGTTAAAATACCTGTAAATAACAAAATGACAAAAAATAATAATTTTAAATAACAAAATTTGAAATAATAAAATCAGCTATAACACTGACTTCATGTCTTGCAGCAGTAGTGGCATTGCACTGAATGAATATAAAAAGAAGCAGACGTCGTAAGTAAAATATTATGGAGTTGCAAAAAGGAGCATTATAGTTCAAGGAAACATTGAAAACGATTCAGCAAAATACTAGAGCAATACTTCAGCAAATTCCTTAATACTGTAGCTAGAACTTACAGTTTTGACAAAACAGAATTTAAACCTAAGCCTTTGAATCAGGATACAGTCATAAATGCTATACTTGATCATACTGGGTCAGATCCTACATCTGTTTCGCTGGCTACAAGGGGTTTTCTGACAGAAAGCTGGGACGAGAGACATACTGCACAAAGTTACAAGAGTGAGCAAAATTACTGCATTTTGGAATATGCACCCTCTGTATCAGGTGGAACACAATTTCTGGGCAATTTCTGGGCAGCAGCTTTTGGATTTAGTCAGATATAGTCAAGGAGATGAGGTGATATAAAGGACTGTTTCCCTTTATGCACTACAAATAGTAGTACATTTATTAAAATTTAATGTTATTTGGATTTTTGTTGTTTAAATAGGGTGAATTCCCTTGGCAAGTGGCAATTAGAGAAATTGGCAGTGAAGGTACAACAGTGTACTGTGGAGGGGTTTATATTGGTGGCTGTTGGATTCTGACTGCTGCACACTGTGTCAGGTAAAAAGAACAAACTGGGAAATGATTCCCTTGTTGTAAGGCAGCAAAATTAATTTGGATATTACTGCCCTTCTCATCTACTTGTTTGTTGACTCCTATTTGCCTAGTGAATAAAACAATTAAGAACGCCAGCTCACCCAATTTAATGATTGGAAAGAGTCAGAGAAGGTAGATTATTTTGGCAGTGAGTGGAAAAAGGAAAAAGTAATGCTGATTTTGAAGAGACATTCTTCAGTCAGATACAAAGCAAGCAGGAAAGGCTCAGTGTAACCACCTTGCATAAAAGGGTGCTATAAGAGACCTCCTCTCTCCCAGATCACCTCTACCTTGAAGAGGTGTGGGATCTGTTCCACGGTCTGTCCCTGACAGGAACGTATTCCCCAGAAGAAACAGGCGGGGAAGAACTGCTGGTCCCAACACCCCTCCCACACTTGCTCGGTGTTCTTTCACTTGAAATTGGGGCAACGTAACCCCCTGCTTTCTCTTTGTGACAGCACTAAATACAGATGCTGGCCTTTAATATTTCTTCTTTCAGCAGTAAGGGTCATCTGCCTTGCATTTGCTACACTTGAGAAATTCCTGGGCATCAAGTCCAGAAAGAAACTATATGTATGTAATATGAATTTTTATTCTATAGAAACTTTGATAAAATGCACAAGTTTACTGCTAGTCGAAACAAACAGGTGTGCTTGTGTTAAGCACCAGAAATATTTTATTTCCCTCTTTTTTTCCAGAGCAAATCGAGTTCATCTGTACCGGATCTGGATTGGGCTGTTGGATACAATAGAGTATAACAAGGAGATAGATACTTACAGGCTAAAACAACTGATAATCCACGAGAACTACAATGCTGCAACTTATGAAAATGACATTGCTTTGATGCAGCTGAATAGTTTTGGAAAAGGAGAATGCTCCCTAAAATATACCACACCTGCCTGTATTCCCTGGTCAGAGTATATGTTCAAGCCTGGCGATAAATGCAAGGTTTCCGGATGGGGACTAGAAAAAGGTACTTGACTTAGTGCTTACTACTAGAATGTATTATTTATATCACTGTTTTTCAAACTGTGGTCAGCTTTAATTTTAAAAAGGCTGAAGAGTGGTGGGCGCAAAGCTCTCAGAAAAGGTTGATGGCAGAAAACACAGGCCATGATTTAGCATTCAGCTATCATCCTGTTTGTTCTCTTTCCTGAACTGCTTCCTTTGTTGTGTCAGCCATTTAGTAAATTGGTCTGGAAACACCTCTGGTTAAAAAGTACCCTGACCAAAAGACATGTTCATTTTTCAGCTGGATCTGTTCCCTGAGCTGCTTTGTAGGGAGACCTACCCTTAGCAAACAAAGTTATTTGCTGAGATACTCGCACACATACCTCTTCTCAGAGGCGACAGAAACAGCAGTTCAGTACCTTCTGGGCCCATGAAAGAAGTGGTTGTAATTACTGATCTAAGATTTATATGGAGATCTGCTAAAGGTATTAACAACTAGCAGTTAGTAGCTCCCTGTGGCCCATAGTCACAGCCAGTTCTCTGTCCCCTGCCCTTGAGGACCTGAGCTGCTGCCAACAGTTTTGAAACTCAGCCCATCTTGTCTCAGCTGTGTTTGAGTTTAACCCAGAGAAGGTTGCACAGAGACAGATAAGCCAAGATGAAGTCACACTTTCAAAGATTTGGGAAGCGTTTGTTTTGTATTACGGAGTGATTATAGTCTGGCACTGGAGCTGCTGCATGCTGGCTTGAGGCTTCTTCTGTCCATAACTCAGTAGCAGTCCATAAAGCAAATACAAAGTTAGAAATTACTAGGAAAGGGACAGAGAACAAAATAGAGAATCTTCTTAACCTTGTGAATGCATAGTTCACCTGTATCTTTAATATCTGGTCCCCTCATCTCAAAAGGACATAGTAAAATTGGCAGAAGGTCAGAGGAAGGTAACAAGGACGATCAGAGGCAAGGAAGTGCATCCATAGTAGGAAAAGCTAAGTGAGGTAAAGCTCTTAAGTCTGGAAGAGATGGCTGGCTGGGGCGGGGGGGAAACGAAAGAGGGTTTATAAAGTCATGAGAAAATTTGTTTTTTCAGTCTTTCTTCCCATCTAAGAACAAGTAAGCATCAAACAAAACTAAAAGGAGCAAAGTTCTAGCAACTGTAAGGAAGTGTTTCTTCACAGTCGGAACTCCTTGCTCTGTATGGGCTGTAGAGGCGACTGAGCAAGTTTGTAGAGGAGAAATCCATTCAGGACTACTTCATATATAGAAACCACATCTGGGGCAGGAAGCTCCCGAGTTGGAAACGGTTGGAGACCAGGGGAATACTAGGGAGAAGTGTGATAAATGCTACTCCTGTGCTCATATTCTGCCAGCAGAGCTGCTTTTGGCCACTGCTGAAGATTGGTACTAGACTGGATGTTATAGTTAATGCTTCAAAATAGCACTGACTGCAGCCATGGAAGAAAAGGTTAAGGAAATCTGCAAATAAAACTGAATCTTAGCCTCTTAGACCACCACCCCCTCACCTCTATAATCTGCTGGAACCTGAAGAGCTCTGGACATACATAACAAGTTCTCTTTTCAGCAAGGGGTGATTATAACTGTCCTCAGAGGCTGTAGCAGTTGCTTAATATCATATACAGAATTAAAAGGTTGTATGGAAAAATCTCTAAAATTTCCACCAGAAAAATCATTTCCCATTTTGCTCATAAATGTCCCACGATTTAAACTACAAAGTTTAAAGGGAGGGAGGAATGCATACGAGAGCTAGGGAGAAGCAAAAATAGACATTTCTAATAGCAATGATTAAGGTTCCCCATTTCACAGAAAACAATATACTGGCTTCCTGGTGTCTGAAAACCTTGATATGGAAAATGGCAAAAGAATTGAGATAGTCAAGCAAGGGGAAAGGGTAAAAATTTCAGAAAATGAAACCACTGTATGTAATGCTGCAGTTAAACCACTCTGCTTTTATATTGAACTGTATGGCTGATGTACTACAATGCACATGGGGAGAGCGTTAATGGCAGTTTATCTCATTTATAATACTGAGGACTATATTCAGCAGAAAAACAAATATAAAATTTTCACTTTATAATATTAATTATATTAAAAGTGTCTACTATGCACTTATTTTTAATTTAGAAAAAAATATTTTCTTTTCTTTTCTAGGTTATGCCAAACAATACATCCTAAAGTGGGGCAATGTTAATTTATTTCAAAATTGTTCTGAATTGTATCCAGGACGCTTTTTCCAAAAAATGGCATGTGCAGGCAAGCATCAATTTTCTTACTATAATTTTTTTTTAAGTCATCATCAAAACCATTCTTTATAAGTTCTAACATACTGGCAGGAAATCTTTAAGACTTAGCAAATACAATAAACTAGATGTCACACTACCACCTTTAGCAAAACGCTCTTTACCTTTGAAGCCTAAATCCATCCACCATTAAATACGTATTTATAAGCAGAGATGTGAAGACAGTACACCAAGCTTCTGTGGTTATCTGGGCAGATTTCAGCATGCAATTTGAATTACGTTTTTTAAATGCACAAGCATGTTACAGCCCACTGAAACTCGTACCTTTACTATACTTGATTCTAAGTCAGTAAAATATTTAAGCAAATGCCTGTCTTTGAGCACATTAGTAGTTCTGTTGACTAGAACGCGATTATTCACCTGCTTAGACGTTTGCTACCACAATACTATAACCCCAGGAAAAATATTTCAAACTTTTCAAACTAGCGGTAAGATTAGTCTGGCCAGGAAACATGCCTTCTATTGGCTAAGAACTTCACTCTTAAATAATTTTTTCATGAGCATTATATTTGCCACACTGATCACTGAAAGCTGCAAAGAACGGCGATTCCTACACATCTATGCCTTAGAGCTGATGCTCAGCGCTCCAGAAGGTACTGAGACTACATAGGTAGGGCACTTTGTTCTTCCCCTCACCTCAGCATTCCTATGCTCTTTCCTGTATCTGCCCATCTATTTTCATCAAGCTTGTAGAGAAACGTAACTTTGAGGCCTCTGCCTCTCTGTCAAGCTTACATGAAACTGGTCACTGAAATGTTTGGTAGAGAGGACACCAAAGCAGACACACAGGCATACACACAGTACAATCTCATACATACGCTTCATTTCCATAGGACACCAAGTTATAAGTCTTTGTACCTTTTCCTTCTAGCTTTTGTTCACTTTTTAGGAGCTACCTCCAATGATATAAAACACAATAGGGCTGAATTCTTCTCTATTACACAGAGTAAAACAAGATTCACATCACCCACAATTATACCAAAGCAGATGAGGAGAATCTGTCCACCTACAAACAAAAAAAGCCCCTGCACTTAAAAAGAAAGGAGGAGGAATAGACTGAAGATGTTAGGAATCTCCGTTACTGGTGGCCGTAAAGTGCCATTACCTGTGACTGTTAGGCAAACGTGTCAGGAAATGACATGGACCTAAAATCCTCCTGAGCTCTATTTTCTGTGCTAGGTTAGGTTATATATGAACTTAATTTTGCTTTTTATTTCTTCTTTCGCTTCAGGTACTTATGATGGTTCCATAGACAGCTGTAAAGGTGATTCAGGAGGACCCCTGGTCTGTTTTGATGCACAAAACGTGGCATATGTCTGGGGTATTGTGAGTTGGGGTGAAAACTGCGGGGAGCCTGGTCACCCTGGTGTGTATACAAAAGTGGCCAGCTATTACGATTGGATTAGCCGTCATGTGACAAGGAGCCTCATATCACGGTACAATATCTGAAGCTCTGAAAAGAAATTATTTTCTTGTCGCGACCTATGCAAAATTGAAGATGAGCCCTTTGTTACAATCAGCAGTCATACAACTTAGCAAATATTAGTAGAAATCTTTAAAGAATATATTTTGAAAATGCTTAGACCTTTATGAATACCATGATTTTGAAGGAGCCTGTGGAAAAAGAATTCTATAGTCACAGGAGTCCACAGCAAAGTTCTCTAATAAAAGCATGCTTTCTGCAGGGAAATTAAAAGATCTGTCCTTTTGTTGTTATTACTTTGGGGCTTTTTAACATTTCACATTGCATTTTTAAATTGGGGCTGTATATGTTTTTCAAATGGACAACAATACTGAAAGCAGTGGTTGGAAAATGATTCACACACTGGTGATATGTGAATTTCACAGAAAGGACAGCAAACAGAATACTTTAAAGAAATTCTATCATCACAAGGTATAGGTCATGAGAAGCTTTCAGGATGCTGCTTTGCTTGCCCAATGATTTGTAAGGCTTACTGAGAAATCAGACTTAAGACTGTCAATTCATTAACAGATTGAGTATGATCATAACATATGGGAAACTAATACAACAATTACCCAAATAATTACTCTGTTTGGTCAAATTTCCCTCAGCTACAAAATCAGTCAGTTTTTATCTCGTTAACATACCTTATCTGATCATTGAGCTTGCGGCAATTTTTCTAGCCCTAAGTTCTATTACTTTAACAGTAGCTGGTCAAACAATAAAGGAATCTTAAAACCTTGTGTCTTAAATAAAAAGTGTCCTAAATAATAAGTGTCTTTACTATAAAGTTCTCTGTGCCTATATAGTTCTGGTACTTCAACAAACGCAAGTAGGGTTTTATGGCATATAAGTGTATCTATAAATATATATCAAATAAATATAAATATATAAAAAGAAAGTATATAGATGATACTTAAGTACCTAATTAAAATTCTACAAAAACAAGTTACAGATTTTAGGTTAAAAAGGAACACTGTCAGTCATAAAACAACAGATTCTCAGATTAGCAAGAGCTTCTTACACCAATATGCAAAACCATGAAACAGTAGTGCTAAGAAAGAATACCATCCTTACAAGGGCCTGACCCTGCACAGTAAAGCTAGGGGGAGTTTTGCCACTGCTCGAACTGATACAGAACCGGACAAACACAAGGGACCACCAACAAAAAGGAAGCATGAAGCAGAAAGTCCTTCTGCTTTCACCGACCCTTATGTTAAAGATTGTTAAGTTCTGCCCACATCACTGTCAGGAAGCCTGTACTGGAGCAGGGCCCAAAGGACCACTGCATAATCTGCATATTTTTAAACAAAAGTGCTAGTGCCCAGTATAAGAAAATGTCAATCTCTGTAGAAACAGGCTCACATCTGGCAAGACTAATGCATACAAGGAATTATGCAACAGGCCCTGAGTCAGCTAGAAGACAGGCTAGTGTATACATACACCTGTGCTTTTAGAAGTGCCAGAATTTTTGGACTGGTAATCTCAACACAAAACTGGCAAATGACTTCAGAACTATCTCAGTCAGTTCCATGAAACTGCTAGGTAATTTTATAATATACTTCACTTGATACTAATTTATAAATGTTTTTAATATATAATTTAATTTATTCCTCTCAATTAATTATCCTGTTAAATGATACATGTTCACACAATGTGATTTTTTTTTTTTTAATAATTCACCACTGTCTGCTCTGGACTGCACTGTTACATTTTCATTGATTTATTTTTTACTTCTTCCACTGTACGGACCCTTCCAATTATCAGTAATGAAAGTAAGGGTATGAACCGCTTCCCTTATCCTCCCGACAACGGTCCCTATTTAGAAAAATATTTAAACATATTCCTGCAAAAGAACTACTTTCCTGAATCAGGGTCTTTGTAGAGTAATAGTAGGGGAAAGCTAGTTTTGCAGGACAAGCGTATGAAGAGCTCCCTCTTTTGTTTGATTTAATTAACTTCTGCCAAAAACTTTTTCCATCTATTTCTTCAGTAGCTGTAAATAATATTAAGTGCTGAGGCTGAAAAGAAAAATCAACAGAATATTTGTCACGTGTCTTTCTGCCCTGCCTCTTGGTCTGGGAGTCATTCAGTTTTCTTTGCATTTCCTGCTCTTCTTTACAGTTTGCCCTGAAAACCCAGTATTACTATGCTCTGAGGGATTTCATACATCTTAAAATAATGCTTTCTTCACAAAAATTAAAACAATTCCTACATGGTTCCACTTTAGCTCATCTAAGAAACATCTGGAATTTAAATATAAAATTAATACATATAAAAAATATCTAGAATGTTTTGCAAACGAGTTCATTTTGGCCTGATTTTTCTTCAGCAAAAGACAGCTGGATTTTTAATGTTTAATAGATAGATTTCAATTTTGCCCTCTTTTACAACACCAACTTGCGCATCTGCTGGTGTTCCCTGAAAATGAATCACTCCTATGTATAAAAGGTCACAGGATCACTTTCACACTTCACAGCATCATAAAATTATTTAAAATTTTAGAACATTCAAAATACATAGTCTTTGTTGCACATGTATCTCTAAATGAGTACGTTTTCCTAAAAGTAATGTTTTTCTAGCGCTTATTAACACAAAGTTATTTCCCTGACTGTACAGAAGGAAAAGGGAATGTGGCTTTGAGCACACTGCTCACAGGGGACAGTGTTTGTTCAGAGCAACCAGGCTTAGGAAGCCTTGATAGGGCCGGAACAAACCTGCTCGTCCTCCCATTCAAACCAATGGCACAACCTCGGAATGGCAGGCTAGAAAATCAGCTTTTTTCAGATGTTTTTCCCCCCCCTCCCAAAATAAGCTTTTTTTTTTTTTTCCAAAAACTATTGCTGTGTCTTTCACGTTTAGCAATGCCAGGATTGCCCTTTCTAACACAGTCACCAAGGTTTTCTGAAATAAGTGTCCTGAGGTTTTGTACGCTGCAATAGTATTGGTAACCTGAGCAGGCCCTGCTCAGCCAGCGCCACCATGTCCTGTGCTATTGGCAGCCAACAGCGCTCCTGTTGCATACCTGGTTTTGAACAAGCTCTCCTGGAACGGGCACTGTGACCTGCTAGAGCCTTTCTCCAGTGGAAACGACCTGTGTTGCAACTGGCTAGGTGCTAAGGCACATTTTGCAACGTCCCATCTTGCCATCCTACCAATTGTTTTCGCTACAGAGAGGACGGGTTCCGCAGTTGTTATCACTTTTTTCCTCTTGAGGAAATCATTATGATTTTCATCTCTCTAACCCTCTCTGTAGTCCTCTCTCGAAATACGGGACTGTCAGTAGGAACACAGAGAAGGGTGTTTCTGCTCTGCTTAAATGGCTCCTTGAGGGAGGACTACCCGCCACAGACCCCCCAAGTCGAGCAGCGAGGCGCGCCAGGCACAACGCACAGACACGCTCGCGCCCTCACCAGGGGTTTCTACCTGCGCTGCAGACTTACTTTAAAACACGACTGTCCTTTCCTCCAGAGGAGGAACCGGGAAACGCCTCCAGCAGGCTCCAGCCCTCCCGCCCGGCCGGTGACGGGCCGCCTCAGCACCTGCGGCGGGGGGGGGGAGAGGGCGGGCAGGATTTCTCAAAATGGAAAACCAGGAGGCGCTTCGTACCTCACTGGCAACGCCCACACGTTTCAGAAGCGAGGCCGTGGCCCGAAAAAACAAAACAAACAAAAAAAAACAACAAAATCCCCCTGGCCTTTACCCAAACCCACCCA